GCTGCTTATATACAAGCGTTTGCTGCTGTTTCTGCTGCATTTTTGCTGTTCTTTCTGCTGCTGCAGCAGCTGCAGCAGCTGCTGCAGCAGCTGCTGCAGCAGCAGCTGCAGCACCAGCAGCAGCAGCAGCAGCAGCAGCAGGAGGATTAAACACGAGGAACTCCATACGGATATGCTGTGTAGGGGTAAGCCTGGTTATACATGTTTGTTACCTCGCCAGAGATAGGAGAAAACTCTGCGTTTACATACGGCAGTCTATTCATCTTAAAACTATCGCTGTCTTCCCCTATAAAACAGCAGCAGCAGCAGCAGCAGCAACAGCAGCAGCAGCAGCAGCAGCAGCAGCAGCAGCAGCAAAAGCAGCAGAAAGCAGGAAAGAATGAGAAAAAGAGAACAAAAAATACTTTGTTTTGATTACATACCCATACACAAACCCTAAACCCTAAACCCTAAACCCTAATAAAAACCCCTAAACCCTCGCATATCTCTCTTCTCCCCTCTCCCCTCTCCCCCCCATCTAAACCCTAAACCCTAAACCCTAAACCCTGAGCGTACAGTTGTATCCAAATGTTTGTGGTTTAAAGTGAGGGTTTGGGGTCCACTGGGGGACCCAGGTAGGGGGAAATATAGTAATCTCGGGGCCGTATATACTTTCTCTTTTTTGCTTTTCTTCTTTTTTTAATACATAACGACATAAACGCGGAGCATAGCCAGGCAAAGATGTATGAAAAGGACGGGGGACGCCTGCATACACACACATACACACAAACCCTAAACCCTAAACCCTAAACCCTAAACCCTAAACCCTAGAAAATTTGGGCTAATAGTGCGGGAGAAATACTTTTTTATATAGATATGAAATACTAAACATTACACCATAAACCCTAAACCCTAAAACATAAACCCTAAACCCTAAACCCTAAACCCTAGATAAGCAGAGCATAATAACCACACACACACACACACACACACAAACTTCCGGCGCCGAAGCCCTAGCTTTCCCCCTCCAAACCCTAAACCCCACCCCCTAAACCCTAAACCCTAAACCCTAAACCCTAGATTTCTTACTTTCTTCGTCATAAGGCTGAATGGAGNCCCCTAAACCCTAAACCCTAAACCCTAAACCCTAGATTTCTTACTTTCTTCGTCATAAGGCTGAATGGAGGGGTCCGTGAGGTCCTCTTCTCCCCAGGTGCGTATCTCTGCACGGCTCTGAAAGAAGTTGCTGGGTAAGAGGAAGCCAGCTGAGCTCTGCTGTCTGTATCGCATGAACTGACCACTGGTCATGCTGCGTACTTTGCTAGAAGAGAAACCACCCTCGTGGCCGCTGCTGCTGCTGCTGCTGCTGCTGCTGCTACCTGCATGCGACTTGCTTAAACGCCCGCTCAGGGATGGAGTTAGCTTCTCTGCTCCCTCAGATGCTGCTGCTGCTGCAGAAGCAGCAGCAGGAGCCTGGGGAGAGGCTACCTTACCAGGGGTGCTGGCGCCTCCTGCAGGGGCAGCTGCTGCTGCAGCAGCAGGTGCAGCAGCAGGTGCAGCTGCTGTAGAAGCAGCAGCAGGCGGGGAGCTACTGCCCTCTCGGGAGGCCGGAGAGGGTTTTCGTTCAGACATCGCGGAGAATAACACTTCCTGAAGCAAAGCAACAAACACAGATTTGCTTCTCTTAGCCGTAACAGCAAAACAACTGCCGCTGCTGCTGCTTCTGCTGCTGCTGCTGCTGCTGCTGGTGTTTTCAGTAGGCTGAGCCCTGATCCCGGTACCCAAAATCTTCCTGTGGTTTGTTTTGAGTCTATAGAGTTTAATTAAAGTGCTTTTTATGCAACCGACTCACGAAGAAAATACGATGGGGTGTATGTACACTGCTAGCGAGGCGGCGGCGGTGGCGCAGGGTGTGAGGCGGCTGCGGCTTTTGCTCTGCAGTGTGGGTATTTATGGAAAAAAAGAGGAAAATAAGGAGAAAATAAGATGTTGAAGGGAAATTGAGTTTAATTAAATTCATAGAAACCAAAGAAGAACACCAAACCCAACGAAACCCAAACCCTGTGACGACTAGCGATGCAGAAAGCCAGCAGCGGCTGCTGCCGCCCATGCTCTGGGGTGCTGTNCAAACCCTGTGACGACTAGCGATGCAGAAAGCCAGCAGCGGCTGCTGCCGCCCATGCTCTGGGGTGCTGTTCTCTATGAATATTCAAAATATTAAAATTCTGTTCATAAATTCAATTAAATAAAGATATTTACTTTATTTTAACCCCAATTTTCACCTTTTTTAATTAGTTTTTAGTTGAGGATCGCGGGCACCCCCAGTACGTAGTGTGGGCCGCTCTATGCTCGCTGGCGGCGGCGGCGGCTGTCGTGAGAAGCGAGGAAGACTTGGGGTGTATATACACCTAAAATAAATTGCAATAAATGATTTCTACAGTTTTCAATCACTCTCTATACGAAACACAAACCAACAAACCCTAAAAAGCATCATATACTGCAGTTGCAGCACGCCAGCAGCAGCTGGGGTGTATGTACACCTCATGAGCAGCAAGTTGTTTGTCTTAGAGATGAAACACGGGAACTTCTACAGATAAAAAGTAGAGTTTTTCC